GGGTGGATCCAGATTTTTTTTTTCTTTTTTACATGGTTTTCCGACGGAATTTTCCGTCGAAAGATTGCGACGGAATCTCGATGAAAGTCAAAACAAGCTCCGAGAGAATTAAATCCGTCGAAAAAAGGTCTTCTGATGGAATTTCCTTGAAACACGTCGAATTTCCTACAAAGGGTTTTGCGACAGACATTTTCCGACGGAATTCCGTCGGAAGATCTTTTCCGACAGAATTTCAACTGTTTTCGACGAATTTTTTTTCCGTCGGAATAAAGCTGTTTTCTTGTAGTGTTTGGGGCAGGGATTTGGTGGGAAACCCGTTGGATGCGTAATCAAATTTAATAAACAATTTATTATGCTATTTATTGGTTAGTTGTGTTGTATGCTTGTAAACAGGTGCAACAAGGTAAATTGTGTGTTGATAGGATGAAAGCATGTTAGTGTGTACTATTTACGCTTATGTACTCAGCATTGCTGATTATGTGTTTGTATGTTTGTTTGGCCTTATCTTTATCTTGGCCCTACGACGACCCATTTCTAATGGTGAGTAGTGGGGTCAAAGTAAAGAGAAGCTTTTCAGGTGATGAAGCATATTCATGATGGGCATGAGTGAAGAGCGAATCATGCTTAGTTTCCATAAGAATATGATGTGGTTTATTGTTTTGAGTATTATATATTTTGCTTGTGGACTAACACAAAGGTTTTAAGTTTTATGTCGGTTTTAATAAGGGCCTACAATGGTTCCAAGTCGTAGGTTGACTCCGTTTGACTTTGGTTTGACCTTACTTTCATTTGGTTTGACTTTTATGTTGACTTGTTTGGAATGGTTTTAAAGATAGTCTTCCGCTGTGTGTCTTTGATAATTACCTTAGCCGTTTTCACGGTGGTGGTAATGTCTTAGATTTTCCTATTTCGTATTTTAAAAAGAGCAAAATAGGTATTTTAAAGGAAAGAAATTTCTAGGGTGTTATAGATACGCCACTCCACCACCACGATTCATCGAACCCACAACCAAACCCAGAACCAATCAAAATAGCAACAACAACCAGATCCCCACCCAACCTTTTTCCCACCACAACAACAACCAAAACAAACAAAAAAACACAAAACAAACGAAAAAAAAATTAAAAACCTTAAAAAAAAAAAAATTAAATCAAACAAATACCTTAAAAATCAGCTATGGCTTCGAATTTCACTTCAAATATGACTAAAAAGGCCAAATTCGACCATGAAAACTCTAGATCTAGAGTTTTTATGGCTGAGTTTGGCCTTAAAAACCTTTAACTTGTTTTAAAAAACCACGACAGCACAATTTTCTACCGACGGAGTACAAGGAGAGAGACATACGGAGTACGAGCAAAATTTTCCGGCGACGGTTAGAGAGAGAGTTAGAAATAGAAAATGAGAGGAAAGATTTGATAGGAGAGGATAGGAGAGAGAGAGAATTTAAAAAAAAAAAAATTGTGGCTGACCACACGGTGTGGCCAGCCCCATATGAAAATTTGTGTACATTTAATGATTAATATTTTTATCTTTTAACCCTTTGAAAAAAAATCCAAATTCAACTTGAATTTTAATGGAGAACTAAAATACAGGAGGGATTTAAATTAGTATTCAAACATTGAAATATCATTGTATTTATAAAGATTAATTTATCAAGCTTTATGACATATGCAAACCATAGAGGCAAAGATTGTGCCAGGTGCGTGTAATGTTTGAAATTTAATAATATGAATCTTAGATCAATTTACCACTCATATAGTCATATACTATGAATCTAAATATCTAACAGTAAATGACGGTAGTCTAATGTATTCCCACCGCTTTTAAATACTTGCTCCATTTTTTCATGCGCGGAGTTTTAGGATAAGTTGGAGAAAGTAATAAAATATGGAGGTAGTGGGGTAGTTTGGAGAATAAAAAATTGTAAAAAGCAAAAGTAGCTGAGAGAATTAAAAGAGAGAGAATATGAAATTAATAAAAATATATTTATGTTGAGTCCACTAGGTGGGAGAAATGAATTAAATATTGTAAAAGCTTTCCAAACAAGGAAATGGAGCAAGTATTAAAAAACGGCCGAAAATGAAAAGTGGAGCAATTATTTAAAACGGAGTGAATATATTTTTATAAGCATAATAATAAAAATGTACACTAGAGTGCCATATTTGGATGGATGAATGCCCCCTGTGTTTTGTGTCTTTGTTGGACAAAGCTCAATTATAATGATATGGGTTGTATTAAAAAAAAAAAAGTTGTATAATATTGAGCAATGCTATGATAGGGAAGGAGAGTGGTCTATTAAAGGAGGGAAGGAGTACATTTTAAGAAAAATAGAGGTCAACTACATCCAGAGTATGTATTTGACGAGATGTATAATTTAAGAATATAATGTATAATTTAAGAATATAAAAAAAAAAAAAAGTTCACCATGGAAAACAAATCCAACGAGAGGGAAATTTGTTGTTTCATGGAAGACAAAAGAACAGTAAATTTTTTTTTTTTTAAAAAAATAAACTTAGAAATTGGTTGAGGGATAAATCAGTCGTTGGAAAATCACCCTAAGCCAAATAATATTTCTAAGTAATTTTAAAAAAAAAAAATAAACTCAGAAATTGGTTGAGGGATAAATCGGTCGTTGGACAATCACCCTAAACCAAACAATATTTTTACCTAAACCAACCTAAGACAAGTTTAGGATAAGTAGAGGATCGTATCCACAGAGAATGGGTATGAGTACACTGAGATTATGAAACAGTTGAAATCTAGTTCGGTCACAAATTGGGATTTTTGAATAATTAACTACTATGAGGACAAACACTAGGGGGAAATGGGAATTGACACCAACCAAACCAATGGATCAAAACAATAGGCAAGCTTGAACACAAATTGGGTGATAGAAAGGGCACTCAACATTGCCTTCTTTCAAAGCCACAACATTAAGCATTCTTGAACCAAACTCAACTAATAAGATAGGTCAACTAAGTCTTAACGATGAGAAGTAGACTACTAACTCGGGTTTGTCTTTCGATCGGTCCAAGATAGCATTAAGGCACAAGTAATTGAGATTTCTCACCTAATTACCGCAACTAAGAGTACTACATCATCCAAACAAGGAACCGTAATCAAGATAGAAATTCGGCTTAAACATACAAGAAAAGGTTCACAACCAAACTTCATCTTTCAATGCAAGCATAGAAATGAATACATGAGCAATAAGTGGCCATCCAATTACACATGCAATTAACCAATTCTTTAACAATCAAACATCAACCCAAAATTAACATGCAAGCATAAAATCAATCAACCCATGGCTTGGTTGGGTCTTCACCCCACCCCTAGCTAATTAACTACTCACTAAACATGGTGTTCAACATCCTAACAACAATATCTAAATTTAACATTAATCTAACAAATTGAGAAAAATAATAAGAACAAAATAGATTGAACATGCAACAACAAATAATCAAGATTAGAGAAGACATTAACAATTCAAAGCAATTAAAAACAGAAAATAAAGAGTAAGAGATAGAGGAAAAAGATTACTAATGAAGCTTCAAAGTTGAGAAAATGTTGAAATTTGAGAATACAAACTTCAATTAATCTACTTCAATGATTGAGTTCGAGAGAAACTAAGCTAATTAATGAGAATTTTAGGAACTATCTAAGAGATAAGGGTTTAAGAAAACTAAGGGAAGAGGATCCCCCTCCCCCCTCACCCAAAAAAAACAAACTGAAGCCAAGGGTTGTATTTAATTTATACACCCCGAAATTACATTGTAAAATCCGTCAAAATCGGGCTTTAGAATAGTAGGAGCGCCCGCTCCTAGCTCTCTTGTGCGCCCTCTCCTGGTTGCAGCAAAAGGGGCAGATTGTAGAAGCTCGGTGAGGAGCGCCCGCTCCTCCCATGGTGCACGCCCGCTCCCTGCTGGGAATAGGGAGAAGCAGATTGTGATGCCTCGATTAGGAGCGGCCGCTCCTTTCTTGGTGCACGCCCGGTCCTTCCTGGTGTATGCTTCTTCAAAAGAGTCTTCAAGGTCATGCTACTTAACCAATTTTTGATTGCATCTACAAACACGAACACACACATAAAAAGGAACGGGGAAGCCAAAAGCTGTAATCATGCACAAAAAGGAGTCGGAGAGGGGTTAAAGAGGAGAAAATGACTACAAAATCGTGTTAAAAATACCATGATAAGTGGACAAATAAAACACTTATCAAAAATTAAGTGTGAGCATTGAAAATGACAGATAGTTTGAATTTCAAATATTATTATGGTAACAAAATTTTCATTTTAAATTCAAATGAAATTTCAAAGTGAGTGGAATTTGGAGCCTAATTTAACAACTAATAAAAAAAAAACAAAAAAACCACGTCAAATTGTATGTAGGCCTCACATACAAGGGTCGTATGTGTAGCCTATCCCTACAACATTCCCCTACTTTGTTTAATTTATTTTGCTTATCTACAACTATAAAGTCTATTAATGAATGCCTGATTTATTACTAATTAAAGAAGTTTAGAGCAACTTTAATAATTGTAGATTGGGACTTGCTTGCAATATTAAATAATCCTTTGCTACTACCTTGACCATTGGAGCTAGAAAATGCAATTAGCTTAGACTATCAAATATGCTTGGAAAAAAAACTTGCCAAAAAAATAATAATAAAATTAAAATGAAATACAAGTATTAAAAATGTTAATTAAAGAGGTGGGGTTTAATTAAATATTAAGCTAATAATGAGCTCAAAGTAGCTAAAATGACAATTAATTTTAATAACTTACAAAGTACTTCGTATACGACACGGCAAAATAATTTGAAAATTATTTTGCTATTGTTGCTTACAAATCTAAAATATAAAACTGAAATTAAAAAGTATAAAATCTTATTCCCACTGCACGGTTATCATTTCCCTTTAACAAATTAACATTATAATCCCTATCAAAAAAAAAAAATTAAAAAAAAAAAATTAACATTATAATTTGTTCTTACACATTCTATAAATAGACATAACAGTCGTTTTATACGGTTTTAAAAAAATTACTCTCTCTTCAAATAAAAAAAAAAAAATCAACATTATAATTTGTTCTTACACATTCTATAAATTGAAATAAAAGTCGTTTTACACGGTTAAGTTTTTTTACTCTCTCTCTTCGAAAAAAAAAAAAAAAAAAAAACTCCTCAAACTTGAGCTCATACCCATCACCTGAGCTAGTCAAGCTCTCCTTTGAATTCCTTTTGACACTCACTTTCTCTTTCCTCTCAGTTCTTGTACTTTTATTCCAAATTTTCGACCAATTTCTCGCAATTTTATTCAGTCAGGTACCTTTAATTTCTTTATCTTTTTTCAATTTTTTTTTCTTTTTGTTGAATTTATGTTGTGATGAATTTTTCCAGAAATTTGATATTTGTTGTTTTGAATTTAATGTTAGTTTCAATTAAAGAAGTGATTGATTTTGGCAGGTTATTATTTATTTTGTTGTTCAGTTTCAAGCTAAAGTTGCTAAAAGAGGGGAATTATAGCAACAATCAACGAATTTGACAGGGGAATTCAGGTTTTTGTTGGCTTTAAATTAAAAATCCCTAATTTTTTATATAATTTAATCATATTTATTTATTAGGGTTTGTTATTTGTATGTTTGTTTGTCTGTTAGCGAGTTAAAGCTTGATGTGATTATGTTTAATTTTTGGTATTTATTCTTGAAGAATTGTTTTTTTGTTGTTATTTTCTGTTTTTGTGTTGTATTTGTAGCTCAGTGGGGATTATGATAATGCTTATAGATGTGTTGCGTCGTTTCGAGTTCGATGTTTCGGTTCTTAGTTTTCTTCATCTCGAACAAATGATAAAGGGAGATATACAAAAGATTCAGTTTACATTCAATTGCGCGCACCTCTCAAAGATGTAAAGAGGCATATTAGGAATCACTTAATGACAATGCTTCACGAGTAAGCTATAAGAAGAATGGCGAGGTTAGTTTGTTTGTGAAGGACATCTTTTGATATTATCTAAAGATTGCTTGCTTTAATAGATCACAATATTCGTTATATGCTGGGTTGAAAGATAGAAAATGCAAATGATTTTAATTTTCACCCCGACAATAGGTATAACATTCGTCTCCACCTTTGGTATTGGTTAAGGAATAAAATGATTTTTATGTTGTGAATTTGGATTATGTCAAAGAAATGAGAATGGTAAGTACCCTAAATGTACTTCATCAAACGGGGGTAGGACCTTATGAGGAGATGCAATACCAGGTGTTGAATATTTGGGTTCTAATAGACGTCTACATTTCTGCTTTGATTCTTCACATAATTGTGTTTGTGTATGTGTGCAAACTCTACACCTCTTGTTTGCTTCATTGGAGGCCGCTAGTTTCCATGGTCACTTATGTCCCGCTAGATATTGCACTTCATGTTACCATTATCAGTGAGATGTATTATGTAAATATCAGCTAGAATCCTCTTGGTCAAACTATTTCTTACCTATATTTGGTTTATATTGAAGATTGTAATATGATTTTCTAGGCGATCAGCCAATTATTTGGCTTTGCTAATTCAAATGTTTGTCCTGACTAAGCTATTCTCTCACTGATGCTGAATGATTATTATGATTGTGAAAAGAGCTCTCCAAATTTTGCTAAATCTAATTGTGTACTTTTAGCAATAATGCTGTTTTCGTGTTTTCATGCTGTTAAATAAAAAGTTAAATTGTGCAGTCTTTGCAGGATACGTAAATGATAAATGCAATATGATGTCTGTGACTGGGAAGATGTAAATTAACTCAATTGTCCCTTTGATAATTTACTACATGTTTGGTTGGCAGTAATAAAGTTATGTGATGATAATAAGTTCATATTTAACTTCGTTAGGAAGGTCTTATGACTCTTGACTCCATGGTAATTCTTCTTCACCTCCAATAATGTGTTGATCTTCTTAAATTTCCGTTGCCATTCAATACCACCTCCAGCATGATTGTGAGTGCTGATGGAAATTTATGAAGACTCCACATAATTGGGAATGGAGTTGCATAATTTTGGATGTTGACATGGGACTTTTCTTGCAAAATTGCATTCAAGGTTACTATTATTACTGCCATGGTGCCATTAATCATCATCTAGTGCTGACCAACCGGGCCATTACTTCTTATATTTGCCACATCATTTTCTGATGTGTATGAATGAGAGTAGCATAGACTTTTATGTTTTATGATTATGCTCTTTTTATTTCTTTGCGTCATAACTCATAAATCAAATGCCCTTGAATCGAACGAAAAGTTAGATTTTTATATTGGCTGGCCTTCCTTTAACACAGCTAGAAGTTTAGTTGTTTGAGATTCCTTTCTATGATTAAAGTTAATTACCATTTGGTAAGTGGCCATCATTGTTTTACTTGAACATTACTGCTAATTTTGGCCTCAGGCTTACAATTTGATGCCTTCGTTTGAAACATATGGGAGACCAGAAAGAGGAGGATTTATATCGTAACTTCTCAAGAAAGGATCTCCAAGGCTTGTGCAAGAAATATGGTCTACCTGCAAATAAGTCAAACTCTGAAATGGCAACATCCTTGATTCTTTACTTGGAGGTATTTTGCTGATGTCGCTATCTGTCAGATGTATGAGGAAAAAACCAGTATACATTTTATAACGAGCTGTCTTACAGTCAACTTTATATTTGTTCTACACTTTACATTTTTTCAATTTTCATCTTTTTAATTTATTTGCCTTTACGGTGCCTGCTCAATTCCAATTGGCTCTGTGAATTATCTGCCATTATATTTTTCAGTTGATTGGACTTCTGTTAGATTGCAGCGCTAGTTTTTATGACTTTCTTGTCTTTGGTGCTCATATGATTGCAATGGTTTTATCGTATTAATAGTAATTGCATGAGAGAATTGAGTGTTTTTTTTTGGTGTTAAATGTGCACTTTTATTAGTAAGAGCGAAGCAAGTCATAATAAATTCTCGTGACTTCCTCTAAATGTGCATTTTCCTGGTGTGATAATTTGAGGCTGATGTGTTAACTTTAAGAGAACTCATGGAGCTAGTTGTATTGTACTTTTGTCAGGAAACTTATTTTCAAAACCCTACTTGTGTTACATTGATTATTGAGGAGTCAGTAGTCATGGACATAGTAGAAATCAGGGTAAATAAAGGAGATGTTACAGAACATACTTCACTGTATTTAAATCCTCAGACAGCAATGTATTTTTTGAGATCCAAGTGGGTTTTGGAGAGAAAAATAATCTGAATTGGGCTATAGAAAACTCTCTAGTACTATGACATTGACTGGATCAACTTTCTTAATAATATTGTAAGGGAAAATAGCCTGAAGTTGTCCATTCTTTGACCAGCTTTCCAATAATGATCCTGAGTTTTAATGTTTGTCAGAAATTTTATCCTTGTACAATATGAATGAATTATTTACAAATGTTAAATAATATTTTGGTTGCAACTGAGACAACCATGGAAAGTTAAGAAGCAGGTCCTGTTAGAAAGGGGTCTTCAGTTAACTTATCTAGTTTTCAAAATGGAAGATTAATGTTTTAGAATTTCCATTTGGAGATGTGATACCATCACGCCATCATGGTTCAGGCAATATTCAAAGACCATTCCCAAACTCCGGATTATATGAACTAAAGCATTATAAGGATTTTGTCAGCCGATTTTTTTTTTGGAGGATGGATTCTTTAATTTTCCTATTTTTTTTCCTTTTTAAATCTATTTTGTATTTCTGATCCTACTGTGTGAGCAATCTTACATTTGTGACGTACTAAGATTCTAAGAAAATAATAATAAATTCATGTTTCTCAGTCAAGGAGTGCCACAGTTATTGAGATTATACCTAATGTAGTATATGGCCAAGAACATAGGGATTAGGTTAGTGATCCAGGTGCATGAAAATGTTTGAACCTATTTATTCTATGGAACATATTCCTCACAGTTACATGTTTTGAGTTGAAATTGAGCTTTCTTGTTTCTTTAGGAAAGGACACTAGGTTTACAGAGAAAAAGTAACAACTCCTACTGTTGTGTGGAGATGCATGAATGGAAAAAATAATGAAACGGAAAGCTTTAATTGATGAAATGATGGCTAGTGAGTGATGGAAATAGGTTTGCCGGGATTTCTTGCGGAACTCTTTTTTAAAGTCTTTCCAAAAATGTAATCCTTTATTCATGTTAGAGCCTTAGCCTTACATTCGAGGGGTGCTTCATTCAGATACAAATTTTTTTGCTGCTAACCTTCATTTTGTAGAACTGTTGCATATGAACTTTTGTTTTATGAAGTGTGAAACATTTCTTTTTTCTACCACCTTTCTCTCATCTATAACTAAAGTAGTATGGCTAGTGAATTTTGCATTAATTCGAAGGAAAATAATATCACATTTTGTTGTTTAATGGTACGAATTGTAATCTATAATGTAAATCCAAGTTGATAAGATATATCTAATTGAGATAAGGAAGGTTTTTTTGGGCATAAGGTTCTAGGCTACTAGGAAGGATACTTTGTCTCTTAAAGATGAAGATTTGTTAAAGTTAGGTTTTCCAACATATACTTAATGTTGGAAAACCAATAACATGATACTAAGGGATTTCAAGAGAGAGGGGCAAAGCCTAAGACTAATGAGAGGTGGGGGGAGGGGTGGCCGTACAGGGCTTTAGTTCTGGAATTCAATAAGGAAAATGTGGTGCTCTAGGGTTGTTATAGTGGACGCTATCGTGGCCAGCCTAGCTAGATTTTGTGCTTTCTTATTGTTTGAGACCATGCTAATATGATGTTTGTGTGCTTGCATGTGGCTTTCGTATGACTATAATAATGTAATATAACATTTTGCTACAATTACTTTTTACTGTGTCCTAAAATGTGACAAAAATCTCTTACTACAAGGATGAAATTACGCATCCCAAAGCACATTTTATATGCTAAATATCTATAATTATATAAGAGTAAAAATTATAAAAAGTTGATATTGTGAAAGTATTTTATGAGACGAATCTATCAAGACCCTATATGACTATATTTTACTTTACGTATAAATCGAGGGAGCCCCAGTTTCTCATTATGAGAAACACTTTTGTTTCTCAGAATGACATTTTGGAAAATAATGTGATATTTTTCACTGGTGGGGACCGCGTATGTGTCATGGATGGGAGCCCCAGATCTTGACACATACCCCATGAGAAACAAAACTTGTTTTTCACAATGAGAAATAGAGAATTACCCGTATAAATCATAATATGTGGTCAAACAAGTGTGATGAATAGTGTAAAAGTCTTGTTATTGCAATATTACTAGAACGGAGGAAGTATATTTTACTTTCTTAAAACATAGTAAAATTTATTAATTTATTTATGTTTATTGGCTTGGATTGTACTGTAATGTTCAAAATATAAGATGGGAACAATGCAAAATTTTTTGTTATGTTTTCTCCACTCCCTAAATTCATTGATTGTAGTAGGGTGGACAGGGTGATATAATTGCACCCCCCCCCCCCCTCTCTTCCTATGAACTTGTATGTCTAGAAATTGATTCTCTGATTTTCCATTCTACTTGCATGTTTTGATTGTTTTCCATTGTTGTCCCATAGTAGCTTGCAGACTGTGAAAAGGGTAACACATTAAGGCCTGCTGATGTTGAGGTCTATGCTGGCTGTTGTCAATTGATTTGTCTGTAGATTTGTCTCAAGGAGTAGCACCAAGTAAAGTGTCTATATACGGTAGACCAATTGTAATGTTGGGAGAACTCAATGATTCAGTGATACACCACATACTGTCCTAGGTTCTTCCGTATTCCAGTGAAAATTTCTACATTAGTGTAATTGGGTGGGAGGGTTGGGGATGAAGAAAGGGAGTGAAGGATTCTGAAGGGGGCTTGAAGGGATGGATCTGGGTTAATCGATTTTAACGTGACATTAGGCGTTCATACCATTATAGTTGGTGTGTTCCTGTACAGCCAATTTAGTTGTTGCAGCCTAGCATTAAAGCTGTTACAGTTATATAAACCAATTTCCCCAACATTTAAAACAAGTTATTTGACGATTATGTGGAAAGAGTTTTATTTCAAAGAATTCAAACGTACACAATATCTATAAATTTCCCAATACAACTTCCGAGCAAATAAGGGACGGGGTATCTTGGATTCTTAAGTGAGAAATAATTACTTAACAATGTTTTGACCAAGTGGAGAAGGGTTTGGTTGTACCTCATACTCCCTCTGTTTTTTCTTTTTTTTATTTATTTTTTTCTTTTAAAGTGACATTTTCCTTAAACATCCTATTTTTTTCAAGTGACACACTTTTCTTGACCATCCATTTTTTTAAGCGACATAATTTCCTATATTGGATATATTCCACTATTTTTAATCATATTTATCTTTCTTTTGGTCCCCAATACTACATTTTAAATTATTTCTCGCTCTTCATGGTACCCACTCCTACATTTTGTATTATTTTTCTCATCTCACATCCTTATACTTCCTCCGTTTTTTTTAGTTGCATCACTTTTCAAATTGCGGACTCTTAGGCAGTTTTTAGAAATGAGAGAGATAGAGAGTTTAAAAAAAAAAAAAAAAAAAAAGGACCCATGTGATAGGGGAGAGATAGAGAGAGTTTATTAACTAAAAAGAAAGTGATGTAACTGATTTGAAACTTTTTTTTTTCAGGAAAGTGATGCAACTAAAAAGAAATAGAGGAAGTATTTGATTTTCTACAAACCACCTTACCTATACAATCTATATATCTTTCTACTAAACTCCATGCGGAAGCTAGTGTCGCTTAAAAAAAAAAATGAGGGAGTAGAATTTACAACGGTTGTATTAGAACATCTTGATATCTTCCTTGATTCACATGCCTCTAAAGGTTCTATTTAGATTTATTGTGATATGTTTCCTTATATTCTCAACAATTGACAATTATCGCTTTAAATGCAGAAGAAGAACCTAAGCACGAGAGCCATATGGGAGGGTACTAGAAGTGATCTCTTTGCTTCAGGAACAACAGAGTTGCAAACTGTTGTAAGGATGAATTCAACAGATAACCAGAGAAAAGGTATCTAATTATTTCTTCATACCCCCCCCCTCTTCCAAAAAAAAAAAATGATTTAACTCTTTTTCTTACAGTTTGTTTTTGGTAACCATGAAATTTATTAGGAACAGGATACCTCCGTACTGTGTATCTTTTGTTATTTGAGTATGGTGCTTTATAAAGATGATATGAATTACAAGAAAATAGGCTAGATCATTGACATTGAATGTATATCCAAATCCTTATTCTTGAGTCCTCGTTCCCCTGTTTAATTTCTTATCAAATCTGGTATTATTTAGTTTTGTAATTTCCTAAATTTTGTTCTTTTATAATCTCTGATCTCCAGACCGTGGACGCATCGCATCCCATAATAGCTTTCACAGCAACCAGTGCCTTAATCAGCGAGATGCAGATCCAGATAATTTGCAGAATTCCAAAGAGTCTGCTACTTCTGATAAGGTGCAGTTCTCATTGTTAGGTTATCTTTGCCTCTTTGGCAAGAACTTGAGATGGTTTGTCTGTTCACACAATTTTGTAAAGTAATCGTCATGGCTAGACTTTTAACCTGTCATTATCAAGTTGAGTCCATGTAGTTTTGTCATTGATCTTATAGACAGATTATTGTGATATTATTTTGTCTCATTAAAATATCAAGAAGACAAGGATAGAGGGAGTATATAATAACAAATTCTATCTAAGTGGACCTAATCTCACTCCTAACATGGGTGGAGGGGTTTGACTGCAGAATTTCCAAATTCCCACGCTTCCTTTACCTTTTTCGCCATTGACCACATTAACCATTCAACTGTTCAATGACTTGACCTCTTACTTCTTCCTCCCCTTAAAATGTTCTTCTTCCTGTCTCTGTTGGGGTTTATGGGGTTGGTAGGTCAAGCCAGAGGCTGTAAGTGTGAGGCTTGAACGGTTAAGGTACTGGAGTTTGGCAGTGGGTGGGGGGAAGAAGGAATTTGGCTTGCTGGTGGGCTAAGTATCCCTGGTTGCAAGGAAGAAGTGAGTTGGGTAGGACTATAGGAGAGGGGAAGGGGTGGGGAGGAGACAGTAGAATGAGGGAAGCAGTGGGCCTCCGGAAGCTAGGGTTCAGAGAATAGGTTTGGAAAAGGGGTGGGAGTGGGAGGAGGAGGGGTGGGGGAATTGTGAAAGAAACCTATCAAAACAGAGGAAGTATGTGAGACTATGCACGTATTTAAATTATTGGGTTTGTATTTGAATGAGGCTAAATATGAAGTTAATGATGTACTCCCTCCGTTCTCTCCTGAACATGTATGCCAATGCAAAACTTTGACCAACCAATAAATCAATCAATCAAAGCCTTAATCCCATAAGTGGGGTCGGCTACATGAACCAAATATGATTATTCCGTGTAGTCATCGACAAAAATCTTCCTCCTCCGTCCCTTACGATCCAATGCCTCATCCTCATGCAAATCCATATACTTCATGCAAAACTTTGACCAATTATGTATAAATCACTAACATTGGTAAGAGTGAATTAGGTGAATAGTGCAAAAAGGTAAAACGTTCTCTTAAAAATATTGAGGGAGTACTTTTAAAGAAAAAGTGACCTGGTAAGTACAGTCTTACATTCGACAGTATTCTAACAGGGGTATCTTATGAAAATCTTCAAAGTAGTTGTTTGTGAAATTGGCTGAATATTATGAGCCGAATTCTAAAATTTTGAAGCAATTTGGAGATTCTGGACTCTGCTTGTCTTTTAAGATGCACAGCTCATTTTGCCTCTTGTGCTTTGCAGGCATCTGTTGATGTGGGTAATTTAACGCAACTCCATAGAGGAAGTAACAATGGGGCAGGTGTTGCAGAGAATACCTTCTCCTCTGTTGTTAGTTCTTCTGCAGTAGCTCCTTCCCCTGAATTTACATTTGAAGTCCTCCGTGAGGATGGGATTCAACTTTATGTTGATCTGAATTCAAGCCCATCAGACTGGATTGAGAGTCTAACAGCTGGAGTTCATATAAATCCTGATGTGTACAAGCCCAAGTCGCAAAGTTTTCATGAAGATATAGGAATTTTACATTGTCCTAAGCAAAAAAGTGGTTCTGATGCTATAGATCCATCTAAGGAGACTGATAATAGCCAACTACAACAAGATGGGTCTTATCCAACCACGATATTGACTGATAATCTGACGCAAACTGTTGAACCTGATGATGGAGAAGGGTCTATGTCTTCACCTGGATTGAAATGCTTAAGCAATGCTGTTCATAACTTGGGGAATTTACAAGAAGAACAAGCATATTTATCATCCAGACTTGAACCTGGTACTGAGTGGCAACTTCCTGGTGCAAAATATTGCAGAAGAGAGGAAATATTGACTAATAAGTCAGATATTAATGCAGCAGTCCGAACTAGAACGCGCTTTAATTTTACTGGAAATTCTGTGCCATCTGATCCTAAGTTTTCAGAGATGCCACACCAGGGTGCAGATACTGGTAATGGTGTTCATAAAAAGATATCCTTGCAGCAAATGAATAATTGTTCTCTGGACCCTGTTCAGAAATGTTGTGAATCGTCAACAACTGTTAGCATGGAGATGCAAACATCTACTCGTACTACCATGTGTCAAGATATTGAATATACTCCTTCCAAAATTGGTAGATATGTAAACGTAGTTGACCAGATAAAGGATACTGAACAGTCTGAATTAGTTAAAACTATTCAGACTCCCAGCAGGGATGAGCTGCAGATGTATCCTGCTCAAGAAGTTGGTCAAAGAACAAGTGTGTCTCCTATGTTGAAGATCTTTCCATTTAACTATGCTGATAATAGGAGTAAAGTGGAAGAAAGCAACAGAATCTTATTTGAGAAAATTGATAGGCAAATAAGAGAAGCTCAATCACATTTAGCAGGTAGTCACTCAGTAAGCAGATATTTTTCTCCTTATCAATGAGCTCGAATATGTTATTAATCTCTCTAATGGTATTGAAACAGGAAATGCTGGATTTCTAAGGACAACGGAGGCTAGTAATGAAGCTAATGAACTTCAGAAAAAAGATGCAGTACTTTATCCTTGCTATAATGATGGGTCCTTTGAGGTGGCTGTTCCAAATAAAAAGGAGTTAGATCTTCGCATATTAACTAAATCTAATGAGCTTCAAGAGGACAATTGCAGAAGCCCATCAACAGCCAATGTGGGAAATCTGGTATTTAAATTTGCTTTAAACCTTAGGTCGCCACCTGATTCTTACAGATAATTAAGGCAAGTTGATGATTAGTTGTAGTATAAATAAGTCATGCCCAAAGTAGACCCAAAAAAGATTAAAATCAGCCTCTTGTTTGCCTCCCTGAAATAACGGAAATTATTAAACATACTCAAAACAAGATGAATTCTCAAGACGGTCCTCAATGCTGCTGCTAATCTGCGAGGGAATTAGCCAAATCCTTTTGAGATACTCCCTATGCTCTTTAAATATCTTCCTTGTTACTGTAGCATCAGAAACCCAAGGGAAGTAGAAAAGTGGGGTTCACCCCCCCCCCCTCCCCCCTATTGTGATAGGAAAAGAACAAAGTTTAGACTCTTAAAAGATAAGAAGGGTCCAACAAATTGGGGCAACTGGCCAAGGGAAGATGACAGATACCAAATTTAACCAAAATAGGGATAAAGTAAAAGTAGGAAGAACTTCATAAAACTCAGGAAATATAACAACCCCCCTGCATTACTATCTAACAAACATAGTCATTTCTCAACTATCTAAAGCTTCTGTTATTACAAATATCTGGAATCTGGATTGCTGACTTTGCATTAGCCATCGTGATTTCCTTTATCATCCTATATCACAAACCCAGTTTCTGCTTTGTCTTGTAACAACCTTTTTCTTTCTCTCGTCTTCTCTACACTCTAAGAGGTTGATTCTCTGTTGCACTTAAATATATATATTCGAGCTGGAAGGAGCACATTAAAAAGATGGAGGTTACGAAAATGCGCATGTTAAGGTGGATGTGTGGGAACACTCTAAGAGATAGAATCAGAAATGAGGTTATTCGCAAGAATGTAGGTGTGGCAGACATTGCAGATAAACTAAGGAAAAATAGCCTACGTTGGTTTGGGCATGTTAGACGGAGACCCGAAGGTGCACCGGTGCGAAGAGAGGAAGAGTGGGACCATGGAGGGGTTAAACGAGGGAGAGAGAGACCGAAATTGACTTGGTTTGAAGGAGTTAGGAAGGATATGAAGTGTATGGATTTGCATGAGGATGAAGCATTGGATCGTAAGGGATGGAGGAGGAAGATTTATGTCGATGACTACACAGAATAATCAAATTTGGTTCATGTTAGTTGACCCCACTTATGGGATTAAGGCTTTGATTGATTGATTGATTCGACCTGGAAGGATTGAATTTTCTAATAATACTGAAAAATATATATCAGTTTGGCTCATGTCATGGGAGGAAGGAGTTAGGAAGGATATGAAGTATATGGATTTGCATGAGGATGAAGCATTGGATCGTAAGGGATGGAGGAGGAAGATTTTTGTGGATGACTGCACGGAATAATCAATTTTGGTTCATGTAGCCGACCCCACTTATGGGATTAAGACTTTGATTGATTGATTGACTGACTGACTGATTGACTGACTGACTGATTGACTGAAAAATATATATAAAAACCTGCGTCTTTCTTACAATACTCCCTTATCGTTCTGGATGTTAGCTAATTGAATGTCCAAGGAACAATTCTTGAATAATATTTTTTGTTAGCTGGCTGCTAAGAATCCTCTAGTCCCACAGTAGCATATTTGAATTTTAGTTAAATTTTTGTCTTTCCTTATTTCTCTCTTTTCCATGCCCTCAACTTTAATAAGAATAGTGCACAAAGTCCTTTGGGCTGATTCTGTCAGCTTGAATCTTGATTCTTGTAGAAAAGATAGGGGTTCCTAAGGACCATCATGATACTCATATGAATAACTTTTTTCCAGTAAGATATATGAATAACTTTTTTCGAATAAAGACCATCATGATACTCACATTGGTCAATAGTACATTTTCTTTTTCCTCCTGGCTTCGATCATTCACAAAATTACTGTATTAGGTTCTAAGTAATACTTACATTGCAGGGTAAGAGCGACACTGGAAATGGAAGGGAGGGATCAAAGTAAGCTCACTCCCTCAAAAAAGATGATTTTTATTCAGGGTTTACCTTGTTTTACCTAGTAACTTAATTTGCTTATTATTCAGATGCTTGAATTCTAACAACCTAACGGAGAAGCCCCGGAAAAAGTCTTCGGATTCAGAAACTACTGGGGAGCACAAGAAGAAAAGAAATTTAAACAGCGTTGAGCATCCGAGTAAACTTGCGAACGCTGAGGCAAAGAATTTGAGGTCTTCAAAGCAGCTTGATGGAAATGTTCATTCAAAGCGTAGAAGATCTTCAAGGCTTTTTACTAAGGTTTACTTTCATTCCATGTCATTCTTTTCCTACATCCACTCCATTTAGGTTCTCTCTTTCTTTCACTTACCCATCCACCCTTGCACACACCCTGTACTCTCACCAAAAAGTTGATTGGTCATGCAGTATTATATTTACTATAAGTACAAATCAGTTGAATGCCATTTTGCTTGTTTAGCAGGAGTTGCTATGCTTACTGTTATGTGAGTGGATCCTCTTTCTGATAATTGATTGTGTAGTTTGGTTAATTCAGTTCCGTCTGAGCTTTGCATCCATGATTTTTCTGTATGCTTTGAAAGCCATTTACTTCTGAACTCACAATATTGATTTTAATTTGGTGATGTAGAAAGCATATGCTGTCTAAGCATCTAGGTAATACTGTAATTAGATTGTTCTATACATAAATAATCCTTGTCAATTCCACTTTATGCATATGGCTGGATCCACTCTGAACGTTGCTGTTGTACACTTGTATTAGCCTTAGCAACTCTAGATTGTCTTTTTTTTTAGGAAAATTGGCTTAAAATAATACTAACTATCAACGGTGTGTGCAAAATAATACAAACTTTACTATTTGCTATGAGCGGTACTACCTTTTGTAATATATGTTCAAAATAGTACGCTAGTCACCGGAAAAGTATCGTCTATATTTATTATTATTTTTTTTGTTATTAATTTTCTGTTTTAAATAATACCCCACCCCTTTGTTAGGCAAATTTTCTGAATTGTCAATATGTATTTAAATATATTTTTTCTTCAAAATACTTGTAGTAATTTTTACTACCACACAATAGTAAATAGGGTATTTAAATGTATTATTATTTTAATGTAATTAGTTTCAAATTGTTTAAAAAATCCAAAAATTTCCCCACATTATTTTGGTTGGTGAATGTGGGGAAAAAGCCCAACAAAGGGGTGGGGCATTAGTAATTTGGATTATAAAGAAAATTGTTAACAAAATATGTATTTTGAAAAGAAAACATATAATTAATAAAATAATAATATTAAATATAGACGGAATATTCCTCGAATTACTTTTTTGGTGACCGGCGTATATTTTGCACATATAGTACAAAAAGTGGTACCGCTAATAGCAAATAGTTGAGTTCGTGTTATTTTGCACACACCGTTAATAGTTGGTATTATTTTAAGCTAGTTTTCCTTTTTTTTTTTTTTTTTTTTTTTTATGTGAGGCATGGTTCAATCTATAAAATGTATAACTTTGCTGTGAAAGAAGAGTTTTAATCTTGATTAATGTGTAGTTATTAGATCGAACCTATAATACTCAAGTATGAATTAGTTGTGTTTTGACATGTAAAGTAGATTTTTATATATTTATAACCCCCCCCCCCCCACCTCCCCCCTCTCCCATGGATCTTCTATGAATTTGTTATTCTTTTTTTTTGTTTAAATAATTATGTTCTGTAATTTTAAGATTAAAGTGTAATATCAAATTAGGAATTTCGTGATTGAGATTATTGCAATGATATGCAGGGGAGAAAATGACGAGTCATGTAAATGGTCTATGTTTAATATAGCCTATATAGGTACTGGGGAGAATAGGAATCAATTTTGGGAGTTACCTGTGTTTTTGAGTAACTAAATCTATATATTTCAGTTTCTGGAATTAGGTAGCTGGAGCTGTGTTCAGTTTTATTTGCCATTTTGCCAAACAATCAAACAAGTATGGTTTTGATAGATTGTCAAATGTTTTTGAGTTCAGATTGCTCGACTCTAAACTTGTTTACCAGATTATGTAATATAATTGTGGATGATGCCTTGGAGTCTTTATGAGATAAGTGCCAGATTATAGCTCAATGAACATTCACATTGATGCTCGGTGTATAGGCTTACGCTCTTGTGCTGATATGTTCAGTTGTATTTGTGTTCTTCAAATGACTTTTTTTTGTTTTTCCCTGCTGTGACAGTGAGTTGTTGATACACAATTGAAGTTGTCATGGTACTTGTTGAAAGCTGAGATGCAATTTATGGTTAGTACCTATTCTGAAATTCGTTAACATATTTACTTTCTGGAACTCTCCAAGATTTGTGAATTTTCATGTGAATTTTGTTCATTTCATCAATTTCATTGGCTTTGATACTATAGTCTATAAGCTTCTGGTTCTGAGATGTCAGAGGTGACAGGAGTTAAATTTTAATATTTTATTTTTTCTTCTTTGTATTACACTTGTACCTGTTCAGCTATCCCTCTAGAATCAACTATGCCTATTGCTGCTTTTGCTTGTCATTTTTCATACACTCCTGACCAATGATTAAATGCACTATGGTCCTGGCCTCCTGGTTATAAAATTGTAGGTCTTTCTTTAATGTTATAAAACATTAAACAAAATGATGATATTGTGCTAGATACTCGTTCAAATCTGACACTTTTGCTGAGTTTTGAACATTAGAGATGTTTGTTATTGATTATATTTATTGTGGTATTATGCAGGTTTGCTTATATGTTGGAGAACATACAGATACAAAGAAAGAATAATGGTGCTATACAATATACAATTTTTAATTATTTCTATGTAATTTGTTATAATTAATCTTGCCTTTGGTGTCCACATGACATGAGGCCATTGTTCTTATACTTTTTTTTCTTTTTTCTTTTATAAATACATTTATAATTTTGGTCTCTGTTTTGAGGCTTGTATATTAGGCTATATTATTACTCAGGATACATCTATGTTATACTTGTTATATTTGTTTATTTAGTTATCTTTGTTCGATCTTTTATTTTATAACAGATCCATCTAAATGTAGCTCCAATTCAAGTGAATTTGAGTTGAACTTTTCAAGCCAGAGTTGAGCTCGAGTTGAGTCGATCCAAGCTCAACTCGTGATCACTTCACTCGATTAGAGGGGATAAAGACTGATGGATACGGTCATACAGAAGATATTCTTAGTTCATGATTCAAAAACAGTAAACAGACCTCTGTCTCGAAGATGGGTGTAACAGAAACCGTGTTCGAGGACGACCTCGGAAATGGGGGTAGCATAATACATATACTTGTGCAATGGTGTTATTCACCATTTTGGTAGGCTGATGGATCATCTTTTTTTGTGCAACCTCAGAAACAGAGCTTCTAAGATTGTTCGTCAACGCGTTGAAGAAAGATAGCGTCGTAATTCAACTGACCCAAGTAGCCGACCAAGGTCTATAAACAAAGAACCTAGCTTTTTGGTCTTTACAATTAACTAGTCTCAAACAATTAGATTATTATAAACCCAAAAAATATGAAAAAGAAAAAAAAATGATTATCAACTTCTACATAATCGAGGAGATCTTATTATATATATAAAAAAAGTGACATAACTTTAATAAGTTTCTTAAAATTTGTGCTTTGTTGCAAATTCTAGAAACTAGGATGTTTAGGCTCTTTGTTTAGCTGAGCTCTATATTCAGTCAATTATGCACTCCTTTGTTCTAACATGTTTGCATTTGAATATCAATTTTGTTTCCTTTTGAATAAATCAAAAGGCTATAAGATAATATCATTTTTTACAATGGTTTATTTCTTAAAGAATGATTGTTTAAGCACTCAAAATTGTACCTACTTGTTAGAGATCCATAGAGATATTCTCTTCTTTATAAGGGCTATCTAGGCTATCAACCATAAGAGTTAACCAAGTACTACGTATTATGATTATCAAAGCATCAGAAAACCTCAATACTTTAAGCTCGAAAGACTCAAGTAAAATTAGCTCATTTCATGAATTGAATATATTTCACGAATTGAATATATATGCAAGACAATACATGGTAAATTGCCAAATTGGTGATAATAATTAAGAACCCACCTTTTTCCATTTTACTTATAACACGTTTTTTCACAATAAAATAGTAAAAAAGACACCATACTATCATCTACAGGTATAATATAATACGGAGTATAATTAAATAAGAAGATATTTATAGTATTGGTTGTATCATGTATTTATTTATTTATTGTTATACTGTTTAGTTATAAAATCATCTCTTCTATAACTCATTTGGTTGTAGAATAGAAGTTGATGCTAGTAGTATAACGGAAATTTGTAATCTTTGAAATTTGGAAGTTTGGCTTAAATATACGTGTATTTGCCCGCGGAATGGGCTCCGATGTTTGGGCTTCAATGTCTAGTTGGGGCATATCCACTACACTCTCATACCTACCTCACTGGCTGATTCCTAAAATGTTCCAACACAATTTTACCTTTTATTTATTTATTTATTTTTGGAAAGGATTGTCTCATTTTTTTATTGTTTAATGAATAACGAATAAAATAATAAAAAAAAATGACTCTAGGAAACAAGAGCTAAATGATTGAAATTTTTTTATCAACTTTTCATAAATAACCAACTTTGCATGCACTTTTTAAACAAGAAACAGCAACATGAATGTCCTTTTATGATCTGATAGTGATATAAAGCTTGAAGAATGGTGTGCCTTTGATCGGGCTAGTTGTTCTCTTAGTAGATATTAGAAGATTGTTGATTGGTTTGGTTGTACTTTGTATTTGCTTGGTTTTTCACATGTGTCATGAAAACCAAGAAATACTCGCAATATCTAGATCATCAATTGAAGCAGAGTACCATTCAATGGTAACATAAGCTGTGACTTTCGAATTAAAAGTGGTCAAAGCATCTAATAGGGGTTAAGGGTGGGTCAGCGTTATATTCCTCAAAATTCAGTATTTCATGAGAGAACGACATACATTGAAGCAATTTGTCATTTTGTGAGGGACGCAATTAAAGATGAAACAAATAAGCTCTCCTTTGTACACATTGTCAAAGAAGCAAATGGCAGCTATTTTTACCAAAGCATTGGGAAAGGCTCAATTTGAGTTTATTCTTCCCTAGTTTAGGCATTCAAGATCTTCATGCTTCATCCTGAGAGGGGGGGAGGAGGTGTTGATATATTAATCTTTAGAGTCCTAGTTTAAGAGAAGTTACATGTGTAGATTATATTCTTTGAGTCGGTTGACATAAGCTCTAGGGTATCTTTTATATATACATTTGAAGTTAGATTGATGAGAAGATTGAGATTTTGACACTAATTTGTCAATACGTCATGACAATAAATTAAATAATTTTTCTTGATGTAATTGCAATGATGATCTACTCCAAACAAGCATTTGTATCTTACAAGATATAATCAAGACCATTTTTTTGCCTAGATGCGTGTGCTATGAACTTTTATTATCACTCATATTAAATTATTAATCATATTTTTCAAGTCTCAATCTTATCTTTCCCTCCATTTCTTACATTAGAAGTGCTAAACTAAAAGAATGATATGCTTTATTGCTATAATTTTTTGTTCATACAAAAGAGTCATGATGTAGACCACACAAATCAAATAGGATGGAATAATGGATATTCAAAAGCGAGGATGAGGACCCGAGTCCAAATGTATAGTATTTCACTTTGTAATTGTAAAACATATATACTAGTATATGGCTCTATAAAGAAGCACATACGCAGTATTATTGCACTCCAAATTTTACAACACCCAAAGCCCTAATATGTTTGATTTAAATTTGTCACTTAGACAAATTGTTGTGCTAATTTGTGGTGGAGAGCGAGAAGTATAGAATTACATTGAAAAAGTTAAAATGGCATAACAAAATAAATTTTTAGGCTAGACCATCCAAATATAAGAAGAAAGATAGTTGAAGAATGGAAGGGTAAAAATGGGCCACTTTGACGGACCATACGGTTTACAGTCACTTGATAGTGATATGATTAACAAAAAAACTTGATATTAAATTAGTGAATCGTGTAGAAAAGAGAAAGCATTAGTTAATACCCTTTCAAAAAAATAAAAATAAATTATTAGTTAATATAGAACATGGCTCAAAATTATTCGAAATGTAGCGTTTAGCTCCATCCATATATAACCACAAAAAATATCTTCTTAATATGTTGTCATCTCAAAAACCACCTCTTTAAATTCTTTATTGAAAAAGATAATTAAGTTGATGAACATTTAACATGGAAATAAATGTAATTGGCCTTTTAAAGTCATTAGTTCAACTCCAATGATATAAATCATTAACCTACCTTGATCGTAATTATTGTTAAGCACTATTGCGGTGATTTTGACCTGGCTTGATTGATTAACATGCACATACATGCACTTTACAAAATTACATATCTTTATGGATTTTGCGGAAGTAATTAATTAGTTGAGTTGCACTCATCACCTAAATCATGCCATTTGCTAGCATTGGATGCAGGTATATCAGTATATTAATACTACGTAGATCGTATTTTATGTCCGTTCTACTCACTTTAATTATTCGGATTATTTTCTTCAACTCACTTTAAAATAGACCATATCTCTTTTATGATATTATGTTAGCTAAAATATTTTGCATTTTTCACATTTACTTTCTTAGTAATTTAAATTATTGAATTTTTTAAAACACAAACTCGTCTAATTATTCAATTTCTCTTACTTTATTATTGATAGTACAGAGTATAATACAGCATCATCATATTTGTGCGTTGCATGTTGATAGTTTATCAATTTTCAACGTACACCCATCATCATTATTCCCATAGTTTTCACGATTCTCCCGATATAAGTTGGGGCCAAATGTACATAGCAAACCTTTATATTTCATGCAAAATTGTTTTAGACTTTTAGTTGATCCTTAGTTTGATTTACATTTTTTTTTTTTGAAGGACTTAGTTTGATTTACATTATTAACTAAAAAGGGTAATTAGTTGCATATAAGGGGATAGTCTTATACTCTTATGTCGTTACATTGAAGTGTATCCTATACTAATTTTTATTGGGCGTGCTTAGCCTATATATGAACTCTAGTGACTAGTGAATAGTGATTGAAGGTTTTTGTTTTTTTTTGTTTTTTGAGGACAAGTGATTGAAGATTATTATATTACCTACTAATACATTATATATTAAAATTGAAAAGAAAAGGAAAAAGAAAAAGAAAAAACTATATATAATAATATTGGAAAAAAATAGGATGAGATAAAGAAAGGAAAACAAGTTAGAAGTGACTAGTTAGAGAGAAAGAAAGGCGAGAAAATTCAAACTCCACTTCGACGACTGTTTTGTCTCCCTATTATCCTCCTTATTTGCAATTGATGAGGTAATTGGTTAAACACCTAGTGATTCGGTAATTTGTTAAGCTTTGGTAATACCGTAATATATATATTTTGAAAGGTTTGAAACAATAGTACACCTTATTACTCCATAGTATTCAATCCGTCTTTAAATAAAAGCCTCATTTCCCTCCAAATTTATTTTCCAGATCATAAATAAAAGTCTTATTTCTTATTTGCATTGTATATCAAATCCACCAACTTTTTGTTTCATTTTTAATCAACAAGACTCATCTAGCTCCATAATTTATTTTTTTCTTACATCCCAACTAGATAAACAATAAACTATTCTCACTATTTATCCACAACACCCTATTGTAATTTATTTTCTACTATATTTAATTATTTAAGAACAAACAGAGTATTGAGTATTACTCTGTAGTAATACTAGTAATAACTAAAGACTAATTGGTAGCGACAAATTTGTGGTACACTCATAGTCTTATGTATTGTTTGGGAAATTGTTTTCCCTCCTTTTTTTTTACATTATTCGAATTTTATGATAATTTATTGCTCCTCATAAATTAAATAAATGTCGTAAATACTCATAGATCTCGCGGAGTCCCTATTGTTGTTGTATCTAACTCATAATATTTGATGTGGCCATACAAACAAGGGTACACTAAATCTAGCTACCAAAAAATGTAATCTGCTTTGCCCATTATCGTGGATGCCCTAATAACGTTATTTTCAAAGTATTTATTAGTATTGCATTTATGCATAAAATAAATGATATACGCATTATACATCTCTTTTGGTTTCGTAAAGTTAATATAAAGTGAAAATATTAAGTGTAATCAAACAATACCAATCAATGTATTTATTAATTTAGAAAATGCATTTAAACATTTACGTGCAACACTAAAGGTTGTACTCCCTCCATCTTTTATTTTTGCCCTATTGTCATTCTTGGGGTTAAAATTTGAAAACTTTAACCATAAATTACCGTTAATCAAAGATAATTTAGTCATGACTAATGAGTAGTCTTGTTAGATTTGTCTCATTATATATTTTATTAAAATCACCTCTTTTTTTTTTTTAATTGTTTCAAAAAAAAAAACACCTTTTTTATAATTTTTACTTGTATGAAAATAAAATATAGACGTTTTAATACGTGTTTTGGAAACCGTGCACAGTCAAACAAGGCAAAAAAATAGTGACAGAGGGAATATTACTTGTATATACTTTGTTTCGTACGGAGTATTTTTTTTTTTAATGCAACGCAATACCATTTACTCCATACCATTTACTCCATACCATTTTAGTTAGGTCAATAATGTGCATATTAATTTAAAAAATGTAATTCTTCCACTTTATATTGATCTTCTCGCTTAGAATTTTAATTTTTTGTGATACAAAATTCAATAATAAATTTATATTATTCAAATTATTCTATTAAATTCACTTTTTATTCTATATAACTACGTAAATTTATTTTTAATAAAAATTTGAGACTAATTTAACTACATAGTAACAATTGGTTATATTACTCCTTCTATTCATAAATGTATATATTTTATGATTTTATATACTTGATACTTCATGAATAATAAATTTTTCTTTCACCGCATTATAATACTCCGTACTTTACTCATTTTACCTCTTATGTTTCAATTCTCTATCTTCTCGTAATATTTTGCACAAGGATTAAGAGTTCAAATTTTTGGGTTAGTTTCTCTATCCGTTTATTAACAATATATTCTAATCAAATCCAATTAATTTTTTCAATCCACTATAGTATGTTACTTGCTTTTCATCATCATCATATTGAATGGGATTAGATAATTAATGGCATATCACACTCTATTACGGGGACACAAACAATATGAAAACAAATAAATCAAAGGCTTACAATTCAATTAAGGATTTACACAATAAACTTCATTCTCCTCCGTAATTGAGTTGGAGAAAACGTAGTACGTCCGTTTTGACATTTGTCATTCCATCATAATTAGTATGAACTATAACTTGGTCTTATTTAAGACTTTTTCATTGCAAATACACATAGTATTTAATAGAGGACGAAATATGAGAATAGTTAGCATCCCATCTCTCCTTATAGAAAGAATTGCTAGCTAACTTTTTTAATGGAAATTTGCTAGCTAACTTAGCAATTAAGTTTTTGACAGTTATATCATACCTACATTTTCTGATTCACATCAGTACTCCCTCCATCCTTTGGTGTATGTATGTTACATTTGCTATTTCAAAATTCAAAGTTAAGTTTACGATATTTAACCATACATTAACAATTAGGCAAAAGCTAATGAACGTCCTGGGGGCGTTGGATAAGATAACTAAAATAAAAGATAATGAATTAAAATGAACATTAATTACACCAATCGAAACATGATTTTGACATGCATTCCTAAATTAATACTATCTTAAGAAATATTTTAAATGTTTATCCAACGCCTCGGGGCGTTCAGTAACAAAAATTTTTTTTAAATTTTTTTTTACAAACATATAATTAAAGATATTACCAGTCAAACTTATTTCTTAAAAATCATTAATATTGAATAGGGTAAACATTGAGGGATGAAAAGAGTATACGAACACCATCCTTTAATAAACATTGCATAATCCTCAACCCCCCCCCCCCCCCCAAAAAAAAAAAAAAAAAAAAATCTCAAATTGCAAATTCTAATTTTATACAGTACTACTGTATTAGTAGAGTGGATACCTTAGAGCTCACTCATTGCATATTACAGCAGAAAAACACAGAATTTATGAAAGATTGAGAAGGTTTTTCTTTCTCCCTTAAATTTTAAATTTTTTCAAATAAAAAAATTCAAAGAGCCCATGTGTGCAGGAATCTAGGCAAAAATCAATCAAAAAATTCCCCCAAAAAATTAAATTAATTATAAAAAATAAAATTTCCTTTTGTATTAACTTCCTCATTTAATGTCTTCACCTACACCTCCTGCCCGTTTTGAGAACCTGCATTGCTCTCTTCTCATTTATTACTCAACTTTCTCTCTCTACTTTCTCTCTCTTCCTTCTTCTCTCTCTCACTTCTTCTGTGGCAGCAAATTCATTCCTCTCTTTCATTCTTGTGAATTCTTCCCAGCAACCCCTCTTAGTAGTACACAAGTTAGGTGCAAAATTTACCCCTTTCTTGGTAAATTTATGGTGCATTGATCATCATGAATTGCTCAACTTATCAAGACTCCATTAAAGTTCTGGTTTTTACACTTTTTTATCCAAAAAGGTGAAACTTTCTTCAACCCACTTTGCAAAATCCAATCTTTCAGAGTTGCACTGTCATATTTTACCCATTTGAGTGTTAGAAAGGGTTAAAAATGAGGTTTTGAATCTGGGGTTTTGCCAACTTTTTACCATTTGAGCTTCAGAAATGTGGAAGAAAGGAAGAATTTGTACTGGGGTTTTTTCTGCACCTGAGGTAAAAATACTTTTCTGCTGTTAAATTTAGGAAATGGGTTTGCTGTTCATGTTGCTTAGGAGACAAGATTGATAATGGGGTTTTTCTCTTCCGAAAGCATAATTTTGTGACCTAGTTTTGTTGTATGATGGAACCCACCAGGTGTTTAATAATATGTTTGAATTCATGGGTGTTGAAATTTGTAGCAAAGTTTTTGGTGTTTGCTATAGTTTATTCAGATTTCTGGTGGTTGGTTTCTGGTTTAGGTTCAATGTCTTCTATTGCTGTTTCATATGGTGAGAATGGTCCTGTTTTTTGTGGGTTGAAATCAGATGGGTCCAATTCTGCAACCTGTTATGGTGCAAATAATGCTATAATTTATGGAACTCCAATACATCTCAGTTTCCTGGGTTTAACTGGGGGTGATGGGTTTGTTTGTGGACTTCTAATGGACTCATATCAGCCTTATTGTTGGGGGGATAGTGGGTTTGTTCGAATTGGTGTTCCTCAACCCATGAAACCGGGTGCTCGATATGTTGAAATTAGTGCAGGTGATAACCATTTGTGTGGTTTAAGGACACCCTTGACAGGAGATCTTAGGAACACTTCTTTGGTTGATTGTTGGGGTTATAACATGACTAAGAATTATGTTTTTGGTGGGCAAATTAAGTCTATTTCTTCTGGTTCTGAATTCAATTGTGGGTTATTTGCTGAAAATAGAACTGTATTCTGTTGGGGTGATGAGACTAGCAGTCATGTGATTAGCCTGCTACCTAAGAATTCGCGGTTTCAGATGATTGCAGCTGGTGGATATCATGTTTGTGGCATCCTGGAAGGAGTTGATTCTAGGGCTTCTTGTTGGGGAAGTAGCGGTAACATTGAAGAAGAGATCGCAGCTGGTTATTCAGGAAATGGCAATGTGAATATTCCTCCAAAAGATTCAATGCTTTCCATTATTGGGGGAAAATTCCAAGCCTGTGGAATTAGGGGTTTAGATCGTGGGGTGGTTTGTTGGGGTTTTATCATGCGACAAGCTACTAAACCTCCCAAGAAGGCCAAGGTTTACACCATTGCTGCTGGAGACTATTTTGCTTGCGGAATACTAATTGAAAAGTCTTTATCGCCTATGTGTTGGGGATTCGGGTTTCCTGCCACTGTTCCATTCGCGGCCACTCCTGGAAGATGCCAGTCTGAGCCATGCACTGATGGTCATTATGAATTTAAACAAGGCCAAGCAACCTGCAGAAACCCAAATACTCATATATGTCTGCCTTGTTTGAATAATTGTCCCAAGGATATGTATCTCAAAGGTGGATGTTCTCAACAATTTGACATTAAGTCATGTGCATATAACTGTTCAAGTTGTGTGTCGTCTGACTGCATTTCAAATTGTTCCGCCATTGCTAGTTCAGGTAATTTTGGTGGGAAGAAAAATGTGAAGTTTTGGGCAATTCAGATTCCAATCATAGTTGCAGAGGTGGTTTTTGCTCTCTTCTTGGCTATAGTAGTGTCTTTATTGGCAATTCTATATGTTCGATACAAGCTTCGAAACTGTCAATGCTCAGCAAGCAGGGTTTGGAATTCGAAGAAAAATGGAGGAAACAATGGATCTTCTAGAGATAATCCGAAGATAAGGCCTGACATGGAGGAGCTGAAGATCAGAAGAGCTAAAGTTTTTTCCTATGAAGAGCTTGAAAAGGCCACCAGTGGATTCAAAGAGGAGTCAATAGTGGGTAGAGGAAGTTTCTCATGTGTTTTCAAAGGAGTCTTGAAGGATGGAACAGTAGTAGCTGTTAAGAGGGCTATAATGACTTCTGACCAAAAGAAGAACTCAAAAGAGTTTCACACAGAACTTGATTTGTTGTCAAGGTTAAACCATGCCCATCTCCTCAACCTGCTAGGATACTGCGAAGAAGGAGGAGAAAGGCTCTTGGTTTATGAGTACATGGCTCATGGGTCATTACACCAACACCTCCATGGGAAAGACAAGTCACTGAAGGAGCAATTAGATTGGGTTCGCAGAGTCACCATAGCTGTTCAAGCATCACGAGGAATCGAATACTTGCATGGTTATGCTTGTCCTCCTGTGATACACCGAGACATAAAATCTTCAAACATTCTCATTGATGAAGAGCACAATGCACGAGTGGCTGATTTTGGACTCTCTCTCCTCGGCCCTGTAGACAGCAGTTCCCCCTTAGCTGAGCTACCAGCTGGAACTCTGGGGTACCTTGACCCTGAATACTACAGACTTCACTACCTAACAACTAAATCTGATGTGTATAGCTTTGGTGTTCTGCTCTTGGAAATACTTAGTGGTAGAAAGGCCATAGATATGCAGTTTGAAGAAGGTAATATAGTTGAATGGGCAGTTCCTTTGATTAAAGCAGGAGATATATCAGCTCTTTTAGATCCCATTTTGAAACCTCCCTCGGAAATTGAAGCACTCAGAAGAATAGCGAATGTGGCTTGTAAATGTGTGAGAATGAGAGGGAAAGATAGACCGTCAATGGACAAAGTCACGACAGCTTTAGAACGAGCCCTTGCTCTTCTTATGGGTACCCCTTGTAGTGAGCAGCCTATTCTACCAACAGAGGTAGTTTTAGGAAGCAGCAGAATGCATAAGAAATCATCTCAAAGATCTTCAAACCCCTCAGAAACCGATATAGGTTCAGCTGAGGATCAGAGGTTTGAGTTTAGAGCTCCTTCATGGATTACATTTCCTAGTGTCACTTCCTCTCAGAGAAGAAAGTCTTCTGTTTCTGAAGCTGATGTTGAAAATGCAAAGAATCCCGAGGCCAAAAACGTGGGCAGTGGAAGAAATGGTGCAGAGGGATTAAATAGTTTGGAAGAAGAAATTGGTCCTGCTTCTCCACAGGAAAGTTTGTTCCTGAAGCATAATTTCTAGGATTGATGACTATATATGCAAAACACCAGATTTAGGGGAGAGTTTGGTTGATTGTTTTCGCATAACTATCATGATTTAATCCAATTTTTTTTAAAAATGTAAAGAAGAATGGGGAAGCCTAATGTAATTTTTTAGAGAAAAAATGTTACCTTTAGATTTCATAAATGCATGCCCTACTAGCAGATTCAACTGTAGTATTGAGCATTTGAGCCCACCAGCTATTCACTTCCCAAACTGATAGGAAACATAGTTTAAATTACTCCTATATCACCTTCATTTTTTCCCTTTATTACAGGACAGATCTTCTGACATTAATTTATGGCTTTGATGTAGGGCACTCTGATGTTTAAGTTAAGCAGCTCAAAACACAGATATAAGCTGCAATTTATGCATCTGTTGCAAATTAATCTGATTCAGGTTTGTGTACAGAAAAAACAATATGAGTAGTAAAAATTCTTAACGTTCAAATAGCAACTTAATGTATTCATAATTTTTAATGCAATCACTTCTCTATTATCTGCCAGATAACAATTCATACTTAATACTTCCTCCGTTCTTTCGCATCACTTGCCTTTTAGGGAAGTTTCACAAATATTACATGACTTCCATTTTAGGACAAAAAATATCTATGTTCACACTGCAAGTACCCAACATACCCTTACTTTTTCACACTTTTAATTTAATCTTTACATTACATGGACAATTTTGTATTTTTACGTTTCTCTCTCTTACTTTTTCCCACTACCAAATTTTGCCTTTAAAATCCCTATGATGCAATAAAAAAAGAACGGAGGAAGTATTTAACTTGCAAGTGGAAAATGGTAATATGTTTGATTTAGAGGAAAGATATATGAGTATTCGATTTAGAGGGGAGATGGAAGACGATGAAAGTAAATATAGCATGAAAATTCTACTGGCCTATGTTTCATCGACAGCCTTTATGCTGCAACAAGTTGCAAAGAAAGCAAGCAATTAAGGATCCTGGGTTCCCCAACATTCCCAATCTCTCATACAAGCAACTCTCTTTCTGAGGTATACAAACTCGCAAAGTAGTTCAGAGTGTACATTATAAGCATGTTAATTAGCAGCTGTGATGTTGCAAATCCAGAGTGATGCTGGATTGCTGGTCGATGCTGTAATTTTCTGCAATTCAACTCACACATGGTCTTTGCAGTGATTATTGCTTATCACTGAACCAACCCAAAATATCTGTCATTGAACTCAGTCGAAAGTTTCAGTCTTCCTTGATCTTTTCTCAGATAAAAGAAAACTTTGCCAATGACATTATCAATAGAGGCAAACATTCATGATTTCATCCATATGGTAGTTGTAGGTTCTGCTACCTAGCCATTGATTACTTAGAATTAGCATTCCCATGCCCTGAGAACGACAAGCGTGACAATCTGGAGAAAATTGATGTCGGACTTCCTCTGTTAGCCATTGCCTTCTTAATCTGAACTTCACTATCAGGATCACGCCAGAACTTAATAACATGAAGACTCTCTTCCTCAGTCGACCTTTGAACTATAATCTTCGACGCATACCCTTTCTTTCTCATCAACCCACACAACTCTGACGGCTTATTAGCAGCAAGAGTAAGCATATACAACCAACCCTTCTCAGACAAAAGCTTATCAGCAACAGGTAATATCCTATCAATCACACTCCTCCCATCCTCCCCCCCCCCGCCCACGCAGCAACAATCCCACCAGCCCCCACTTCATCCTCAGGGGTCGGAACATACGGGGGGTTCACAACCACCACATCCACCAACCCCGCAAGGCGGTCCTCCAACGCTGAGGCAATATCCATGTTCATAACCTCGGCGTGAACCCCATGAGCCTTTAATGTCGCCAAGGTTACCTCAACCGCATCCGGATTAATATCAGTTGCAAAACAATGTACACTACTATTAGTATCTTGCCCCAACATTAAGGCTAAAGATGTGATCACATAACCACTACCACATCCTATTTCTAAACACATTGTTGGTTCAAGTTGTAGCAAATTCATTCGATCAGCTAAAAGAGCATCTACTAGAGCAAATGAATCATCACAGGGTTCATAAACTTCAGGGTGAGAAGCAACAAGACGAATATCGGCGATTTTCGAGGTCATGATCACAAATTAATTTCACCTGCTAATGAACAAAATCCAGAAATTGGCAAATTATAATAAAAAATTACAGAAGTTTATAGCTGCATTTTGGATTAAACGAACAACAAAACGATTTAACAAAAAAATAGGCAATGTTCTACGATCTTAATTAGTGTAGATTTAACTGTTTAATAACTACCAAAATCAGCATATAAATCAAAAATTAAAATGCAATTCAAGAGCAATTAATTACCGTCAGAAGTGAATTGGGTGATGAGAATGTTGCAGATGGTTGCTGAATTCAGCGAAAATCAAAAGCCCCAAATTAAATTAGGGTTGCAAGTTGAGAAAAATTACAGGAAATTGAAAGTTATTAAACCCTAATTTTTTTTTTCCAGTTACATATGCTGTATTGTCGAACCAGGATAGACTGATTGCAAAAAGAGGGTGTGATGGTTACTGGCTAGGTCTTAAAGTCTTTTAACCACTTAAGTTAGGTGTTAGGTTATGAAATCAGCAATATATAATACTGCCACGGATCGAACTTTTTAGTCGAACTTTGTGAGTAGATCTTATTTTTGAGAATATGATATACGACAACACGGTTTAATCAACTATATGTTATTTTTATTATTAGTACGTGATCTTATTCTCGAACTTTGGTCGACCGAAAATAATCCTTACTCAACAATTATATTATGAATATATCATACACGACAATGCGATTTAATCAGATACATGCTCTTTATATTACTCGCACCTGATCTTAATCATGCTTTTACATTACTCGCGCGTGATCTTATTCCCGAACTTTGACCAACCGAAAATAATCTTTACTCAACAATTATTTCCAAGTTAAAATTCAATGATTTCTATAGAGGGAGTACTAATTCATCATCAAAAATGTAATTTTTTTTTTCAAAAAAAAAAAGCCAAATAAATGGAAAAATGCCCTCACGCAGGATCGAACTACGGACCTTCAGTTTACAAGACTGACGCTCTACCACTGAGCTATAAGGGCGTTGATGTTAAACTTGAGGTTTTTGTCTTATTTATTCTAAACAAATTCAAAATCTGTTTCAATTCTTTGGTTTTTTTCTCTTTCTATGTTTCCATACAGCAGTATTAGGTCTTCTTAACTGCGCATTATTGTTCAAGAAACTATGATAATAATCATAAGAATATTTTCAAAAATGCCCCTAGTTTATGCAACCAATGTGAATATCTGAAGAGTATACATTAGCGCGACATAATAAGAGTTAGTAAAATGGAACTATATTACAAATAGACCATTGAAGGAACTATTTTTACCCTATTCACCTAATCACGTCGAAAAAGCTTTAAAGTTATAGGATAAGAGATGGAGCAAATTCTTGATACAAATAACTATGCTTACTGTTGCTGATAGTAAGGAGATGGAATCAGACGGGCAAAAATGCTGAAACCATGCATATAGTTGGCTTAAGGCAAGTCAGACATTATCTCTTTCAAAATCAAAAGCAGTTTGCCAAGAACTTGATGCAATATATATGTTTATCTGGGATTACAAACAGGCCTGTACCAAAATGAGCACCAGGGGGGTGTTACCCATTTACAAATGTACGGCTTGAGCAAAAACTATCTAATTACTTTAAAAAGATACGAAATTCAGCTAAATATCCTAAATACCCAAAAGGACACCATTCACAAATTGGAGGAATTGAGATATTTTAAGCAAAAAAACTTCAACTATCCTACAATAAACAGAATCAGGGAATGGTTTTACAATGGAGGGTGAAAATACTTTTTACTGTACTCGGCAGAAGATGGAGTACCAAAATGTGACTAATCAGAGACATAACCGGAGAAATTATTGTCTAAACCAGTACGATTTACAGTAGGCCTAATACTGCTGTAGGGCATTTTAGAAGCATCAAGCTCAGCAGAGCCCATATTTTGGGCCATCCCCTAAGTAGTGTCATGCAAGCCAAATTGTGAGAATTCTGGTGAAGGTGGATGCAAGGTGTTCATGCTGGAAGCCATAGGAATAGATACATTCGGAAAGATGGAATTTTGAACAGTGTCTGAACGAAGACGCTTTTCTAGGTTACATCCTTGTAGCAACTGAGTTTGGGCAGTTGTGGAGCAAGCTGCCCGTTTCTTCATGCCTTTGGAATCTACATGAGAAGAAGCTGTTGCAGAAAACTTTTTCTTGTTCTCAACCTTTTCTTTTTCCAGGTTTAAGGAATTTCTTTCTTCCTTCTGTAGCTCTAGTTGCCGAATGCGTTGTTGAAGGTCGATGGGTGAGTACTCAGAATCCAACTTGAAATCAAAAATGCATCTGATTACACTTTGTAGAGCACGTATTTGTTTTTTTGCACACTTGTTCTGTGTCTTAACCGAATTATTGGAGTTCTGGCAGGTCTTCAATGCAGCTTCATATGTGTAATCCAAGTATGCTTTCAGTAGAGGGTCCGGAGGGAATTTATCAGCCAGATTAAATGCACATATAAAGCGAACAGCCTCAAGCCACTTATTCTCCTTAATAAGAGATCTGATAAGATCTGCACAACAACAAATAAAACCCACAAAATCGATTAAACAGGTTGCTGAAAAATATCATCATGCAGATAATATTTTGACAGTTATATGGAATGCTAGCTAGGTGCATGTACAGGACAAATCAATTCTCATTATAAACATGCAAGTCCCAGCACTGGTTGGCAATCAAAAAGAAGAAAAAATTATAGCCATGGCAATTGTAAACATCAAAGTATAAAGTAGTTAGTTTAGTTTAAGATCAATAAAGAGTGAGGGTCAAATTACCTGGAATCTTTGCTTCCAAACTCAAAGCACGACATAAACTAGGAATTTGTTCAAATTCATAAATATCATCTTTATCAAAGAATGTAGTAAATAGTGCAAGGATTTCATCTGCTTGAAAGGAACTCGACAATTTGTAGGCAGCTAAGAACTTCAAAAAGCCAAAAACAAAGAAGCACTTGGTACTCTCCTTTGCTAATCTAGCCTTCCAACAAGCTGCAAAGTTAATAATATCTTCTTTCAGCACAAAATTAATATGTGGTGAGAGTTGCATCAGCTGCTCTAACAAAACATTGCAACATGAAACGTTGGTGTCGCCCTGAAATTCATCTATTTCTAGATAGAAATCTTGCACTACATTTAAAACAAGCTTTGCAGGATCTGAAGCCCATTGAAGACAATCCAAAACCTTCTCGGGGAATAACTTTAGATCCTTTACATGCTTGACTAAATATGACTTCAACCCATTTGCATCCATCCCCTTGCACAAAGTGCAAAGCTCAATGGAAGGGTCTGTGGATGGTGAAACAAACGCATTCTTCATATGGGGAGTATATGGCTCATTTTTCTGAGGTGATGCTACATTGCTCACTGGCAAGTGAAACATATGTATTAGATATACAATGATGCTCTAAAAAAAAGTAATAATATGTAAGAAAATCTAGCAATTATATCTCTAGCCAATTGATGAGAGTATGAGATAGAAACCAAACAATGAAGAGATGAGTTAAGTTAATATCACTTTCAGTTTTAAAAATTGGATATCCAATAAGTATATTAGTCTAAGCTGATAAATAGGAGCACAACACCCAAAGAGATGATAAACCTTGTCTAATTTAAGCTGCAATTTTTGGGTATAGTTAAAATGAAAAGAAAAATTAAATTCTTCCATACTTGAGTTGAGAGAATAAAGACTGGAAAGGAAGCTGCAATTCTCAAATACTCCACAAAAAAACCCTAATTTTCAAATTCAATGTAAATAATCTATAAATCCAACAAACTTCCAAGTTCCAACCATGTCAATATAAGATAATGAGTAAAACACACCAAGAAATTCATGCAATGCACCTAAATTATACAAGTAGTACAAAAACTATAATGTAATAAACATATACAAGTAGGAGTTCGAAGAGGTAAAGAAGTCAATGGTTGGGAATTTACCTCCATACTTTTGCTGAAAACCAAGTCTAGAATGCAGTTCACCTACCACTCTGTGCTGGCCAACAACCTCACAAAGATTCCTGAGATCCTCCTTGTCGAAGTCCCACCACAGCCAATATACAGCTACCAAAAGCAAGAATCCCATTACCACCATGTAATTCCCACTCTCGGCTCTCATTTTCTCCCTCCATACACAGGCCAACAACCTTGCCTCCTCTCTCACCGCCTTCTTGATTTCAGGCATCAGTTCCATTAACTGTTCCAACAAGAGTACACAACTACTCCTAACAACAATCTCTTCATACTCCATACCATCCTTCTTCAAATGTGGCCGGAAAAACCCTTCCATGGCATCTAGTACCAGTTTTGCAGGATCACTTGATAACTGAAGCGCACTCTGAACCTCTGCACCCATACAATTCTGCTCATCAATCCTATCGTTCAAGAACATTTGTAGAATTTTGCCATCCATCTCCTTGCACAAAGCGGAAAGATCAACAGAAGAGTCCATGGAAGGTGAAACAAATGCATTCTTTACAGGTGGAGTACATGTCTCTTTTTTCTGAGCTTGTGATGCCCTGTTGCTCACTAGCAAGGGAAACATAAGAATTAGAAAGGCACTGATGCTCTAAATTGATTTTGTACTATCAATTTAAAAAACTAGCATCTGTATCACCAGCCAAACGATGAGAAGGAAATAATGCAGGGTCTAGTTTACTTAAAGGCAATGTCAGTATTTTTTTGCTATATCAATTATCCAATATATGTTTCGTATTTTCTCAGTCTAAGCTAAAACATGGGAGTAAAGCATCCAAGTAGATGATAAGCTCGGTTTACTTTAAACTAAATAAACAGGTATGACATACGAAAAGATAATAACTTGTCCCTTCTCTAAAAAATCTTATATACTTGCAAAACCCTGAATCCCTGATTCCCAACTTCAATGTAACTACATTCTTAATCTATATTCTATAATGTCAGCAAACTTCCAACCATACAAAAATATGATTAGAACAAAACACACCAAGAAAATCATGCATTTCACCAATTTGCAGTGCATAAACTTTTATGCAATAAATCAACAAAGAGTTACAAAAACAATAGCTTTCAATGATCAAGAGCTCACCATGAAACTTTTGAAGGATACCAAGTCTCGAATCTAGTTCATCCACTACCCTATGCTGCCGAACAACCTCACACAGACTCCCGAGATCATCCTTGTCGAAATCCCACCATAACCAATACACATCAACCAAAAGCAAAAACCCCAAAAACACCTTATAACTCCCGCTCTCTGCCCTCATTTTCTTCCTCCACACTCGTGCCAGCGCCCTCGCCTCCTCTCTAACCGCCTTTTTTATTTCAGGCTTCAATTCCATCAACTGCTCCAACAAAAGTACACAACTACTCCTAACAACAATCCCATCATACTCCACTTTACCCTTCTTCAAATGGGGTGGGAAAAACCCTTTCATTGCATCTAACACAAGTTTTGCAGGATCACTAGATAATTTAATTGCACTCTTAACCTCTTCACCCATAAATTCATGTTCATCAACCCTATCATTCAAAAACAATTGTAGGGTTTTTCCATCCATTGTAACAAAA